CTCTGTGCACTGCATACTTGATAGCCCACTGACTGCTGTCTAGATATTTATTACCTTTCACTATCGATAAAAAAAAACAGAAAGAAGGATGACGTAAGTAAGGAGAAGTACAGTGTTAGGGCACAGTAGCAATTGCTGCTGGTTTTACTGGAGATTGCATTGTGAACAGAAGCTTCACCCAGATAATGGCTATAACCTGTGTGCCACATTCCTGGGCTATGAATACATAAGCTATGCATTAAAAGATGAAACTTTTTGTATCCTCTAACTACCTTTCAGCACCAAAGCCAAGTATGACAAATCCATCATGTGGTGGATCAGATGTTGCTGGTACAATTAAGGTATTTTTGGCTGCCACGTATCCAAACCCTGGTCTCTCTATTTTGTTGCCTCAATAACCCAGCATCTCTTATTTCTCCATTGTGGAGATGCTGAGAGTTGTGTTCCCAGTTCTTTTCTCTGTCTGGACACCAGAAGTGCTATAGAGGATGCTTGTCTGATGCCACACTTGCCATGGCTCTAATATTCCTCCATACTGAGGGTTGACAGTAAGTTCTGCTTTTACAGCACCAGACACAGAAGAAGACACAAATCTTCCTTTCTGTCCCACCAAGCATCAGAGGCTTCTCTTCACCCTCCATTGAGGAGGGAGTTTTACTATAATGATATGCTCTCCCTAAAGACATCCTTCTGAGAAGGTGTTTGATTCCCTTGGGTACTGGTGACTAACTGTGCTATGAGGGACCCTGCATTGTGCTAAGGTTTATACCTCAGAAGTGGCATCCTAGGAGATCCTCGAGCTTCCTGTCCCAGAGTGTTGCACTGCTGACCCTGTTACGGTTCCAAAATCTTTCCGCCAAAGGACTCCCCAAGTTCTTGTTGCCGCTCCAGCTGCGCAGGAGAGTCGCAGACCAAGTAGATGTCTGTAGCAAATCTCTGATTGTCTAGTGTAACTAGAATTACAAGACTTCCCTCTTCAAGCCTATGTATACTTTCCTTGCAGTGCTCAGTTTTGTTTACCTCTGTGTTGAGCTTCAGATCCTGACTTCTTGAGGTTTTTTCTGGTATTTTCTTCCTCATTCATTGTTTTTCTTCTTTTTTATTGTAACCTTATAATTTCTTGCATTTTCCTTGTTTTTTGTTCCCTGCTCCATGTGTTTTGTTTTTCTTCCTTGGATTGCTTACCTGGTTTTGGACTTTTCGGTTGGAATCTGCACAGTGTCTTATCATTGTTTTTCTGAGCTGTCTACATATTTATATTCCCTATCTTTTCAAACTGTGATTCTCTTGGGCATACTTTTGATTGGAGCATTTAAGAGTGTGATGGAGCAAGCTAAGGCTTAGTCAAAACCCTTCCTTTACTGAAATAAATTGGACACCCATAACTTTATTGAATGGTTGGACTTCCGTAGAATGTAATTCCAGAGACAGAAAAGGGATCAAATGATTGGCCATGTGCATAATTCGACATTCATCAGGAGTCACAGCAGTTAGGTGGAGAGGTTGGGGAGCTGTGTCTCAGCTCCTACAGTTCAGGAAGGGAGAGTGGTAAAGGATTCTGGAATTGCAGAGAGTTTAAGTAGTAGAGGAGTGTGTATTCAACTCCTGTGATTAAATATTAGCAGCCAGCTGGTGGTCCTAACCAGTTTAGGCTTCAAAAGTTAGAAAGCAATGCTAAAGGCTTACAATGATTTTGTTGTGGAATAATGTAGTAAAGAAAGATGGATCCACAGAGAGTTTAGCTTTATTTTTAATGTGTACTGTATTCCTAGATTAATCAGATTTCTCCAGAGTCTCTACAGAGTAGTAGACTAGTGTTTATAGTAAGAAACTGGGCACCAGTGGGTGAGACGCACCAGTATATATTGGAGGAGACTAAGAACATGAATAGGAACAATCTTCCAGTGAAAGGAAGGCTGTGGAAGGGTGAACCCGGTTGAGTGTGCCAGGGGTCCCAGAGTAGGAATGGGACAGGTTTCTTCCTGGGAAAGGGAAGACAGGCCAAGGATGTGAGAGCCTGGTTGAGTGTGCCAGAGGTTCCATGGGATTTGGGTGTGTTTGTTCCAGCTCTTTTAGTGGAATAGAAGACTGAAGAGTTCTTTCATGTGAGAAGAAGAGCTGAAGACGTTTTGGGAGTAATACCTCTGTGAAGAACTGTTTTTTGGGACTGAGAAGGCTTCTCAGAAAAGGGACCACTTGCACATCTTAAGAGTCTAGATGGATTCCACAAGCCAACAGTGGCAGATCACCAAAACACACACTCCTAATTTGGTCAAGTGGGGTTACGTGTTATGGCTCAGGGTTGGCATTCTTCACAAAGAGGTTTATGGCATTGTCTTGGCCATTTCCATGGTACTGTGATTCTCTGACTTAAACACGTCCCTGACTTTACTCTCTTCTGTCCCAGTCTACTTTGTACAAGCTTCAGGCCTGTGACACAGCACTCATTGTAACACATTCACCTGGGTCTCAATACAATTCAGTCAGGATGCAGTACATTTATGTTTGAATACACTACCCATCACAGGGGATGATGTTTAGTAAAACAATTACTGCACAACTCTCCTTAAAGATAGAAACTTTTTTATCAAGTATTCTATCCAAAGGGTTCTGCTCTCTGAACCTTGGGAGTGTTTATTATTAAACTGTTTCCTGTTACTGAAAAGGATAGCTTCCTCCACCTAATCAGACACCTAAGGGCATCTAAATAAATCTCACTATGTCATGATCCCTACATAACTAGCAGTGGAACTGGTATAAATACAAAATCCTTCCCTGTCTTATGGCAGTAATACCTCATGCTCTCTCTCTAGTCTTTCCATAGTTTGTTTCTGTTAAGCATTATTTTTGTTCATAATATTAACAATTAAAAAGAGACTTTCAGCTCTCCAGACCTGTTCAATCACTGACATATCAGAATCTGCTGTATTTGCCCAGTTAACACCCAAACTCATGAATGAAAACACTGTGGCATGAATGTCATTAACAATAAAGGTCAAGCATTTCCCCCAGGTTTAAATTCATACATCATTAATACCTGAAAATAATAAATAGAGACTCAGCTCAAAAAGTTTGTTGGGAGATAATTCTACATAATGTACATTGTTATGATGTTATAGGAAAGGAATTTTGGTGGTTTTGAGTATCTCATGTATAGTTCTATGGTTCTAGAACTATGGTTCGCATACCACTGCTGGTGCGCGGAGTGCCCCCAAGTGGTACGCCAGATGACCCTGGAAATTTGTTGTGTACGCTTAAAAATTGTGACGGGTTTTCATATTTTCTATTTTATGTGTCAAATACGCAGCCTACATACTACAATACAGTGTGCACTAATACTTGAGTGGACACAAGCTACTGTACTATGTAATTCTATACCATTGTATAGTAATGTGTGCTATGAACGGAAGTGACCAATTGTATTTAAAAAAAGTTACCTTCAGCAAATAGGGAGGCATGAGAATGTGCGTGATTTGGGAAAAATGCCAATCTTGTGAGCACAGGAAAGCATGATAGATAACAGAAAAATATTTGAGGACTGTTCTCTGTGTTTTGCTCCCATGCACATTAAAAAAAACGTATTTTATCTTCTGAGACGAACTCATGAAACGGAAACGGGGGGAAATGCAAGATTGCGGATTGCTAAAGTAGGAAAACCCCACACTATTTTTGAAGAACTTTGTTTACTGTTGGCAACAGCTGACACGTATTATGTGTGGAGAAAAAGCTACTAAACAGCTTGACCTGCTGCCCCTTTTGAATGACACAGTCACTCTGAGAATTATTGATATCACAGAATATCAAAAGTACGCTGATAGAGCACGTTAAGTTGAGCAGATGCTTTTCACTGCAATTAGATGAGTCTATAGATGCCATTGATTTGGCCAATTTGCTAGTTTACGTTAGATATAAGTTTGAGGGCATGTCCCATGATGACGTTCTGTTCTGTAAGCCACTAACAACAAAAACTACAGGAGAGCACATATTTTAGCTTCCAAATGAACTTATCGAAGAGAATAGCATTGACTGGAAAAAGTGCTTTGCAGTTTGTACAGACAGTGCCAGAGCAATTACAGGCAGACACAGCGGTGTAGTTGTGTAGGTTGTTCCAGATATGAAGTGGACACACTGGAGCATCCACCGTGATGGCAGTCAAGAAAACTCCGGAGGATTTAAAGTCTGTTAGACTCTGCTGTCAAAGTTGTGAATTGTATCAAGGCTCAACCAATGAATTCACATCTGCTTTGCTCGACTAAAAAGGCTCACCCCTCTCACTGAAATAAATGGTAAGTGATCAGTGCTGTGTATGTGAGTGTGTGCGGGCGCTCATGTTGATCATTGAGATTTTCTGGGGTTCCTATGAGAAGATGACTTGTAGGTGGTACTTGAATGCTTTGGTTTGATCAGGGGTGGTTGGTCCAAAATGTTTGACAACCAATGAGAGGAATGGTGAAGCTAATGTCTCCCAAAGAGAAAAAGCTGATCAGAGTTCCATGCTTGATCATTGTTTTACCATGTAACACCTGTTTTATCACCCTGCATGTCATTAATTTTAAACCCAATGCTCCCAAGTGGAAGAAACATAATAAAAGTCTTAAAGGCCCTAAAAGGCAGATAAATTACCCACCTTTTTTGACTCGACTTTGTTAAAGAAGCCGGCCAAGAATTACCTCACTTGTGGATTTAACTAATAGGCAATCTTATCCTTCCCTTATATTATTAAATTTGATATTAGGGTGCACAATGTGTTATTGTGTTACTTTGTGATTCATGGTTTTCTTTCACGATAGGAAATGAATTTTTGTATTATGGTTTGTCCTTATGTGCTCTCATTTTAAATATTGTATTTATATTGTATTTGACTGTAATTATTTATACTAAACAAATGGCCTCTTTCAATTTTTGGCTCTTCAAACTTTTTGTTTACGACAATCAATAAAGATAATGTCAAAAGGCTCTCCAATACATAAAAAACATTTAATTACATTATCATTACTTACAGGGACAGTAAGTTTGGCAAATCCCATAGTTCATCACTGGGAAGATGCTGAAGCTGGTTGTTCTGTAACATCCTTGAAGGGAGAGATTACAAAGAAAACACGTGAGCCACATTAGTTTAAGACATTGGTTTCTGATCAATTAGTTACCAAATACCCTCATCTTGTTTCTAAATATTCATAAACAAACATATGTTCTTACTTAGTTTATAACACTAATTCTGTATAACTCCTTTCTTATAATTGTTTCTTTCCAACTGCAAATTCTAAATATACAGTATTATTTCAGTAAAAGAATGTAGTAGCATGTCAAGGCTAACTCAGAAATAAATAAATATTCTTTTAGCCTTAACTTGAAGTAACAGTCATTATTTTATTTTGAGCATGTTTACACAGTCATTGGTGTGCAGCATGTACATGATTCTGTGTCATGGAAATAACTGAAATGATCTTACTTGTTGTCCTTCATTTCCTGGGAAAGCTGAACCTATAAGCTAAGAAAGATGAACTCATCATATTCAGCCTCATGTGTAAATGTTGGTGGCATTAAAAAACATTGGCCGGTACTGGAATACTGTTGTTTCTAATAGTATTTTCTTGCTATTCCTACTAATTTTTTTTTTAGTTCAGCATCTTTGTATCTTTCTAATGCATTCCTCCAACTTTTAACTTGAAACAGCTTAAATTCCAGCGAGGCACTAATTAAAGCAAGCTTGCCCGTAAACAAAGAATGCGAGCAAAGCAGGATCCTATGTTCTGAGGTGTCTTGTTTCGTGAAACAATTTGGAGACGTTGTTGTTTATACTGGAGGGAGAACCACAATCTTTGTTCCAAACTTTAATCAGCCAAGAGATGTCATTTCATTTGGCTTACAAAGTTTATTTCAATGAGGGAGAAAAAAAAGGAGTCTTTGGGTGGTCTGCTGATGTTGTAGTTATAGAAGTAGAAAAAAAATGCTAAATGAAAAAAGGAGTACAATATACACAATAAACCTTGAATCTTTGAAGAGTGCAAACAATTAAAATTTGAGACTTTACAGTCATACTGTAGATGTCAGGAGGTAATTAACCCAATCAAATGTAGCTTCTGGTACTTTAACACCAAAAACAAAGAAAAGGGTCTTAGGCAGAGGATTTTAATTGTATAATAACAGGGGTAAAATAAATGCTGTAGATAGGAATTTAAAATTTTAGTATTGTGAGTCATTATAGTACATTCAGCGCTACTCAGGTTTTTCTTTTGCTCCCAAAATACAAGCATAATTATTTTATACAGAATAATACAGAAAACTAAATGAGATGGCTTTCCAAGCAACCTACTCAATATAGACTAAATTACAAAATTTTACAAAATAGAAATATAGAAATAATTTAATTCCCATACTGTATATAAGTGAAAAAACATTCATTTTATGCTCATTTTGCAGATGGAGTTTGTCTTCAGTTTGATTATTTTCATACTTCATGAAAATGTAGGAATGAAACATTAAAAAGTAATCTGGGGAGAAAAATGCTGTAAAAATTCCAGTGATTTACAATGAAAGGAAAACAATACTGATGCATGTCTTTTTATTTAAAAATAGATGCCTTCATCAGTAACTGTATAATATGTGAGTTTACAATTAACTCTTTTTTTTCTGACATAGTGACAAGTTCTCCCAAGAGTACGATGGAGGGAACTGGAAAAGAATCAATAAATTAATTCTAAAATATGAGGTTAGGAGTATAAGAGAGGATACAGTATAAATCTGAAAACAAAAATCGGATGACAAAATTGGAAACCAAGAATAAGTGTACGTAAGATAGAAAATATGAGACATTACTTTAAAGAAAGGGTTGTAGGAGTCTGGAACAATATGGAAGTGATTTAGAACTAAGAACAGGAAACATTTCTTTACAAAAAAAGGTTGTGGGAATCCTGAACAAGCTACCCAACTATGTTGCTAAAGCTGATACTTTGTTTTCCATGAAATACTATAACTAGATGTGTTTGTTGAATCAATTAAGTATTAAACACCAAGCACATTTGATGGCTTATTTGGTCTCCCCTTTTTTGCAAACATTCTTATGCTTAATCAAATTTTGGTTTGAGTTAGTATAGTAAGTCATCTGGCAAATCCAGACAATGACACTGATAGCTTTTGATTCCCTTTTTAAAATATGACATATTGTAAATTTGCACTTAGAGGAAAACTCTGTGGATGTTTTTTAAAGCCTTTCTTAAGGCAGACTGTAATGTTGTGCTACTGAGATTGAACTAGAAACTGATCTTGGGATGTAGAAAGAACACAAGTGCTGGGTGAGAGACACTTAAGTCATCAAAACCTGCAGGCAGTACACTGTAGAGTGGAGAGTAGAGGAGTTTTTGCCATATGTACATGAACATTGAATTCTTATTCGCACTGATCTCTCAGGATATACACAGGAAAGCACACGACACAGTTTAAAAGATAACACCACACATTGTAGACAGTACATTACAAACATAATAAATAATAACAACAGAACAATAAATATGTAGTACTTAGCAAAAAAAACATGGTAGACCATTCAAAAAGTGTATAGTGCAGACATGCATTGAGTCTGAGTCTTTGAATTAACTGTTAAGGTCCATGCTTTAATAGTACGGAGGGAGAACAGTTTGGGGCTGGAATGGAAGGATCCTGTGTGCTGCTCTTTTCAGTTCAAGACACAAGGAAGTGCTGCTGTGTGTGCAGACAGGTGCCATGCTATGGTAAGAGCACAGTCCAAGATTGTAGTCAAGTTGGTGTGGGTCAAAGCCAATGAGACCAAGCTAACCAGGGTCCAAAATACCAAGGGGAAGTGTGGGGAGGCAAGGTCAGAGCACGACAGGGTCCAAGCCAAGATATACACTGTAGACAAACAAAGCTGCAGAGTGGTGCAAGAGACATGGTACAACGCAAGCAGAGGTCAGTATTTCACACAACTGTGAAACACAGGGACAAAGAATAAACTAAGAAACTTAAAAGACTCAGAGACAAAACTCAGGAACAAGACTCAAGGGGCTCAGAGTCAACATACAATGAAAGAGCTCTGAGCTTTGTCAGATCTGAGTACTACTGTTGAGGAAACACCTGGAATGAGTGTGGATGTAAACTGTCTCCTAGTAATTCAAGTCTCCTGTTAATTGGTTTCTGCAGAAACCAGTGCAGGGACTATGGTTGATTGTGACAAATGCTAGCTCTCCCCACTGCTCTGTAGGGTGGACACAACATAGAAATCTATCATATGGTATATCGCTTTTTTGTGTTTTTAAATTAGCCATTGTGTAGAACACAGTTTCTGGAAATACAGCTAATGAACACAACAACAGTCATTTATACCTTAGGGGAAAGTTTTGTTTGCATGTTTTTTATCTAAAAGATAAAATACACTTTCCTCCATGTTAGTCATAGGACTCATACCCATGTATTGATGATAGACAGCCGAAGTGATGTAGTCTACCTAATCCAAAAAATATTTATAGTGATTTGCAATTTGAATTTATTTATTGTTTTTAGAAAAATAATCTTGAGACCTACCAGTACTGTATGTCCAAAAGAACAATGAATTGTTTTAATACAATTTGGGATATTGATGTTATTAGACTTTAATATGTAATCGTTTCTGAAATTCTGTATATAATTAAGCCTTAACATTTAGTCAGGGAAGAGTAAACTTATCCTTATTTTGTAAAGCTGCAGGGCCATGGAACAGGTAGCTCATCCTTCTGTATTACAGACAACAATAGAGTGATATTATTCCTTTCATATCAGTGAGAAAGGGTACATTACAATGATTGCTTTAAGCAGAAAATAACAGAAGAATTGTGTTAAAATTAGTTTTACTATCAGATGAGGAATCATTTGAACTCAGTGATAAGCAGGTTATACATTCTGCCAGTGAGCCAGATTCACATCCAAGCTCCTCAGATAAGAAATATTTAACCATAGCAGTAAGTGGTACTGCATCAGAACTTAAGATTTCTAGGCTGAATTCCAGGATTCTTTTAATGGAAGCCTACATGATTGCAAGAAATGTTAAACTTCTCTTTATGACAACAATCCAATCTTGTGTCAAAAAAAATCTTATTTATATGAACCACTGTATGGACTGGAATTAAAGTTCAGAATATATAAACCACAGCTATGTAAACGTTGTATCTAAAAAGGTGCTGCATTATTTTTTATACCATCATTGTAAGAACAGTGTTATTTACGAACGCTGTGCAGGTCTCCAGGCGAGGTCCGAAAGCTGAGGTATCCAAGTCGGGCGACGAAATAGAGTGGTCGGTTATTCCAGACAGGGTCGAGTCCAGGAAATAGGCACAAAGAGAGGCAAACAAATACGATAGGGGCGAGACAAGAGTAAGAAATTCAAAACCAAAGAGTTGACATTGAAGAAGTCCTGACAAGGTAGAAAAGGTTTTTAGGAAGAAAGGGCAAGGTGAGCTCAGAAGGCAGAAGAGATCCTAATCCCGAGCAATGTTACAGAGTGAATGTAGGATTTATACAGTGAAGGAAGGGGTGTGTAAGGGAAACTGGATAATGAGGGGTTGATTGACCCTGCAGCCATAACAGTACCCCCCCTGTACGGGCAGCTCTTGAAGTGCATGATGGACAGTCTTGGAAGGCCCAATGGAAGTCCCAGAGAAGTTAATGGTCGAGGATGTGCCTTTCCAGGACCCAGGATCTTTCTTCAGGGCCACAGCCCTCCCGAGATATTGTAAGGCGCCACAAACCACGAGAATCCAAGAACTGTATACTGTGTAAGTGGTGTAGCGGCGAGGCTTA